GGAGCAAAGCAAGAATAAACTCAAAATGGATGAAAGACTTAAATGTAAGTTGTGAAACCATAAAAATCCTAGAAGAAACCATAGGCAGCAAAATCCAGACATCTCTCATAGCAATATGTTTATGGATACATCTCCTAGGGCAAAAGAAACTAAAGAGAAAATAAACAAATGGGACTACATCAAAATAAAAAGGCTTCTGCACAGCAAAAGAAACCATCATCCAAATGAAAAGGGATCCCACTGTATGGGAGAACATATTTTGCAATGATACATCTGATAAAGCATTAATATCCAAAATATATAAGGAACTCATACAATTTAACAGTTGGAAGACAAATAATCCAATTAAAAAATGGTCAAGTAACCTAAATAGACACTTTTTCAAAGTGAACATTCAGATAGCCAAGATATATATGAAACAATACTCAAAGTCACTGATCATCAGAGAGATGAAAATTAAAATGATAATTAGTTATCACTTCACACCTGTCATAATGGCTACCATCAACAAATCAACAAGTGCTGGTGAGGATGTGGAGAAAAGGGAACCCTGTACACTGCTTGTGAGAATGTAGACTGTTGCAGCCATTATAGAAAACAGTATGGAGTTTCCTCAAAATATTAAATATAGAACTGCCATTTGACCCAGTGATTCCACTTGTAGGAATATATCCTAAGAAAACTGAAACACCAATGAGAAAGAATGTATGCACCCCTATTTTCATAGCAGCACAATTTACAATGGCTAAGATCTCGAAACATAGGTAGGTGAGTAGATAAAAAAAGTGGTGGTACATTTATACCATGGAATACTATGCAGCAGTAAAAAGGAAGAATCTCTTATCCTTTGATACAGCATGGATCTGGAGAGTATCATGCTAAGTGAAATAAGTCAGAGAAAGACAAGTATTATGTGATCTCACTCATATATAGATTCTAAGTAACAAAATAAACTGAGGAACGGAGTGGATCCAGAGACATGGAATCAGGAAACAGAGTGTGGAATCTCAGAGGTAAGGCATGGGAGGGTGGATGGATGGAAGGTGATCAACCAAAGAACTTGTATGCATATATGCATGGCCCATGGAGACAGACAATAAGGTGGTGAAAACCAGGGCAGGGGGTGAGAGCAGGCTAGGAGCAGTCAATGGGGGATAAGATGGGACATGTATAACACTTTCAATAATAAAGATTTTAAAAAAAGAAGAACCCGTGATTACACCATTTGAGAAGGCTGATTCACTAGCTGGTGGTCTACCTCAAGTGAGTGATAACAGCTGTTTAAGTGAAATAGATCAGGATGGTAAAAGGTGAAATCTATAAATCTTTTAATTCTAGGTGATGGAATATTAGCAATGATTACTTTTTCTAGAAATAAAGGAGCATAATGTATTATACAGGCCAAGGCCAGAGAATTCTCAGTTATATCAAACTAGAGGCCTGGTGCATGAATTTGTGCACCAGTGGGGTCCTGGCCTGCTGGATCAGGTCAAAACTGGCTTTCTGACATCCCCTGAGGGGTCCCAGATTGCGAGAGGGCACAGACCAGGCCGAAGGACCCCACTTGTGCACGATCGGGGCAAGGGAGGGATGCAGGAGGTTGGCCAGCTGGGGGGGGGGATCATGGGAGGGCTCCAGGGCATGTCCGGCCTGGCTCGCTCTGTCCTGATTGGACAGATCCCAGCAGCAAACTAACCTACCAGTTGGAGCATCTGCCTCCTGGCGGTTAGTACACATCATAATGAGTGGTTGAGCGGCCTTAGCATATCATTAGCATATGCTTTGATTGGTTGATCGGCTGACTGGTCAACCGGACACTTAGCATATTAGGCTTTTATTATATAGGATGCTATTGAAAGGTTAAGATGAGTGAGGATAAGTGACTCTGATAAGGAGAAAATAGTTGCCATAGAAGCTACACTGTGGTGAGTAAGTGAAACAACTCCTTAGAGAATTTTTACTGGGAAAGGCAATAGAGAAATGGATGATGACAGAAGACGAATGTGGAGTTCAAGGGAGTTTTCTTTCTTTTCTTATTTTAAGATGGGAGCTTTTAGGGTATGTCTGTATATTGTTGGAAAAGATCCAGTAGAGAAAAACATGTTTATTAAATCTAACTTTATTTGAATTTCCAAGTTTTAGAAAGCTCATCAATTGTATTACACATTTTAAAGATTATAGTAAACTAATTATCCATTGCATTTCTATGATGTGCAGTTTTTTAAATATTTTATTTATTTTTGCCATCACCATTTATCCCCTCTGTGCCCTCTTTCATGCCCCCACTCCCCCAGAATCACTCCATTGTTGTCCATGTCCATGAGTTCTCTCTCTATTTTATTTTTTGCTCAATTCCTCAACCTCACCCTGTAAACCCACCACCACCACCACCAGAGCTGTCTGCCTGCTCTCTATCTATGAGTGTCTCTATTTTGCTTGGTAGTTCAGATGGTTATTAAATTCCACATATGTGTGAAATCATAAGGTACTTGTATTTCTCTGACTGGCTTATTTCACTTAGCATAATATTCTCCAGGCCCATCCAAGCTGTTGCAAAGGGTAATTTCCTTCCTCTTTATGGCCGGGTGGTATTCCATTGGGTAAATGTACCACAGCTGTTTTATCCACTCATCGACTGATGGACACTTGGGCTGCATCCAAACCTTGGTAAGTACAAATAACTGCAATGAACATAGGGGTGCATATATTTTTCAAGTCAGTGTTTTGGGTTTCTTTTTATAAACTCCCAGAAATGAAATTGCTGGTTCATAATGAAGTTTCATTTTTAATTTTTTGAGGTAATTCCATACTGCTATCCACAGTGGCTGTACAAAATCAACATTCCCAACAGTGCACAAGGGTTCCTTTTTCTCCATATCCTTGCCAACACTTTTTTGTTGATTTATTGATGGTAGCTAATCTGACAGGTCTGAAGTGATATCCTATTGTGGCTTTAATTTGCATTTCTCTGGTGGTTAGTGATGATCATTTTTTTCATGTATCTATTGGCCATCTATATGATCCCTTCGGAGAAGTGTCTATTCAGGTCATTTGCCCATTTTTTAATTGGACTGTTTGTTTTTATTGGTGTTGAGTTTATAAGTTCTTTATAAATTTTGGATATTAACCACTTATCAGATGTATCATTGACGAATATGTTTCCCATTCAGTGGGTTGTCTTCATTTGGTTGATGGTTTCCTCTGCTGTGCTAAAGCTCTTTCTTTTATGTAGTCCTATTTGTTCATTTTTATTTTGTTTCCCTTGCCCAAGGAGATACGTCAGAAAAAATATTGCTACAAGATATTGCCAAGAGTCTATCCTTTCTTCTAGAATTTTTATGGTTTCATGTCTAACATTTAAGTCTTTAATACATTGTGAGTTTATTCTTCTGTGTTGTTTAAGAAGGTGGTCTAGTTTCATTTTTGCAAATATCTGTCCATTTTTTCTAACACAATATATTAAATAGTCCACTATATTTTTTGACCCGTTAGTCAAATATTAATTAACTATAAAGGCATAGATTTATATATTGGCTCTCTATTCTGTTCCATTATCTGTTTTTATGCTAGTACCATGTTGCTGTTGTTTTTTGTTTTATTTTTACTATTTTTATTTAAAACTATAAAAAAAGACAATGACAACCAATAACATAATGCTTTTCTTCACATTCGCACGAATTTTAGAAAATTATTGCCCCTGGAGAAATAACTTGACAAAATATAAAGTAATACCACACTGTGAAATCTACAAATCCTAGAAGTCAACATCTTGAAGACAATCTCCAGGGATAGGTGGGGGAAAAAACAAGTGTCACAAGAGATGAGACAAGCATATATAAGGACGGCAAGCTGGGGAAAAGATCATGTCAATGACAGTGACCCAGACAGTAGGTACCCTTTTCTCCTGCCCCCCAGGCTACCACCTCAAATGGGTGATTTTTGGTTTATAGTCTAAGGAACTCTCTTCAAAATGACACAGAGTTGCTTTGAATAGAGGTGTAACAAGAAAGGTTCAAGTAAAGTGTGTCCCAGAATTCACGCAAGAAGTAATTTTGATAGAAAACACAGGTTTATCATTAAAAATTGTAAATTTTTATTGATTCATAAAGTATACAGTATAAGGTTATGTATGGAATAGCATATCGGGTAAATGGCCTCCACGGCTTTGCTGGCACATACGCACTCTTTTGTTATTGCCTGAGTAGCCACATTTTCTTTCTTTAAAAAAATATATTTTATTGTTTTTTTTTTACAGAGAGGAAGGGAGAGGGATAGAGAGTTAGAAACATTGATGAGAGAGAAACATAGATCAGCTGCCTCCTGCACACCCCCCATTGGGAATGTGCCCACAACCAAGGTACATGCCCTTGACCGGAATCGAACCCGGGACCCTTGAGTCCATAGGCTGATGCTATATCCACTGAGCCAAACCTGTTAGGGTGGCATTTTCAAAGAAGAATGGTCTGAAGATGCCTCCAGCCCAAAATCCGCACCAAACAGTGACACGTTGTGGATGCATTTGTTTCTCAACAATCACTCCTGGATTTTCTGAACCCCAAATTCGACAATTTTATCAATTAACCAAGCCATCAAGATGAAAATGAGCCTCATCAAAATTCAGCCACATTTATGCAAAATGGTCATGGAAAATTTCAACAAAAGAGTGCATATGTGACAGCAAAGCTGTGGAGGTCATTTACCTGATATGCTATTCCATACATGCTTCCTTCAGAATGAATTGGCTTCTTAACTGCCTTTTCTCCCGGTCTAGCAGCTGCTTTCTCCCATGTTGCTGCAGGTGTTTATTGCCTTATGCTTGAAATGAAAAGGTGAACTTTGAGGTGCCAGGACTGGACAGTCCTGAGAGGGCAGGGGGGTCTGGAAGTACAGTAGCCAGCACAAGCTGTGCTCTAATAATGGCTTGGCCTTCCTTTGTTCCCTATCCCCAAGGTCAGTCTAAAGTTTGTTTGCAAGCCTGGTGACCCCTTGCTGTCCTACTGGGGCAGCGGGATGAGGGGGGTCTTCAGTATTGCACAGGTATGAAATGTCCACCAGTTTAAAAAACAAAATCACAATTGTTCTTGGGGCTGGGTGGTTCCCCTATCCAGTTTTATCAGGATGTGGCTTTGGCCATGGGACTCCTGCTGAGCTCTGAGACCCTCCTGTGGGTGGGCACTGGTGCCAGCACCATGGTAGGGAATGTGTAGTAGGAACCCTGCACTTCAGGGCTCAGTGTCTGCAAATGGGCTGTGAAGAAAGAGCTGGCTGCCTCTCCTTGGCAGGAGGGAGCCTGGGGCGTGGGTGTGGAAGGCAGGATCTCAGATTCATACTGCAGGAGCTGACCCATGAAACCAAAGTTGGGCAACACTGCACTCCTGCTCTGCTTGATGTAATTGAAGGCGTCCTTCAGGTGAAACTGCCTGATCTTCATGAGGTAAGCCATGCAGACGGTGGCTGAACAGGAGATCCCAGCCTCACAGTGGACCAGGACCTTGCCTCCTGTTTCCCTGACACAGTCAATGAAGTCTATTGCTGCTTGAAAGTGGTAGCTAATGTCAGCCTTGTGGCTGTCTTCCAGGGGATCCATTTGTAGTGTAGGGGGCTCTTGCAGGCCTCGGAGGTTCCCCAAGAGACATTCAGCAGGGCTGTGATGTGCAGGTTGGCGAGAAACTCCCATTTGGATGCATAGTAGCCACTTCTAAGGTAGAGGAATGGAAGGATTTCAACTGGGCCGCCCTGGTCATAATCTGGCTTGTAGCTGATGCTGAGTACTGGTTTCCCACACTGGCTGATAAGGGCTCTCTCGGTCTCAATCTTCTCTTCTGAGTTGGGTTCTATGTCCATGCAACAATCAGGATATTCTGAGTAGAAAGTCTCATATCCTCCTTTGAGGAAGCAAACCTGGGGCGGGCAGGCAGGCCAGCAGCAAGGTGAGCAGGCTGTGCGTGGCACTCTCCTTGCTCAGCTTCTGCCAGTGGCGCTGCCCATCGCAGCCCCACTGAGCTGAGGTTGACATTGAGCGAGCCACGCAAGCTGGAGGCAATAAACGCCAGGTAGGGCCGGCAGTCCAGCGCCCGCGTAGCTCCTTGGGAGCATCTTGTGAAGCCGGCTCCGATCAGACGACATGACCTTCACGTGGCCGCCCAGCGGCCCCGCTCTGCACAGGTGCCCACAGCCAGGGTGGCTTGGCGAGATATAGGAGGGCAGAAGGCCCTCAGGGCTTCCCCAGTCAATTGAGCCCAGAATCAGAGCCAGAGCAGTAGGTCAACTTTTCTTTCCCGCTCAGAACGCTGGGTGCCTGACCCCTGGCCGCCCCAGGAGCTGGGCCTATATTGTTTTGATTACTATGGCCTTGTAGTATAGCTTGATATCAGGTAGGGTGATTCCTTCACTTTGTTCTTCTTTTTCAAGATCACTGTTGCTATTTCAGGGACTTTTGTGGTTCCATATAAAAAATAATTGTTTTTTTCAAGGAAAATATCTCTACTCCTGCAGGAGGGTGCTGCAGGCACATGGTCTGGGAGCACACACACCTCCATATACATTTTTGAAATATTCATTTTTTCAAAAATCATACATTGGAGGAAACCAAGATGGCGGCATAGGTCAACACTGGAGTTAGCTGCCTTGAACAACCACTTCAAAAATACAACTAAAAGACGGAACGGACATCACCCAGAACCACAGGAAGACTGGCTGAGGGGAAATTCTTCAACTAGAAGAAAAGAGACTCAGAGGAGGCGCAGTGCGGAAAATACAAAGGTGCGGAGGTACATGTGGCGGGCTGGTAGCTGAGGGCACAGTTGTCGTTTTCAATCAGGAGGGAGTCTCAGATTCTGAGCTCCAGTTCTGGGTGAGTCTCTAGGGAACCAGACTCAAATGGGAGAATCAGGACTGTCTGGCATCGGTCGGAACGCGAGGGCAGCTTTCTCTCTGAGGTTTGCAGCAGTTGCTGGGACTCTGAGAGGCAGAGCTCTGCCCACCCTGTTGATCCCGTGCGACCCGACCCGCCCAAGCCCTGCACAGAGCCATTTGCCAGGTAGCCTCAGGCAAAGGCTAGATTAGCACCTCCCCGGAGGACAGAATTTTTCCCACTGCAGACAAAGAT